TCGTATTAATGGTTTGATTACATGACATCCAAAGGGAATTCCTATTCAAGGTTGGATCAATGAAACAAATGAATAGTGAGATGAAAGTAGATGATGATTTCATTAAGCATACCCATGATTTATGATTGGTAGGTCGTAAGCAGCAGCTGATGGGATTCTTTATAGAATCTCTACTAACCTCATCAGCTAACCTCGCTCGGGAACAAACAACATTTTTTGCATAATGCTTTAAGGAACGGTAATCGAATAGTCCAAGATAAATAAAAAAAACGTTGTGAATGAGAACTGCTTCTGCTGCAAACTATGCTTTCCTTTCTATCTCAGCTGGCATAATCAAGCGTGCTGGGATTCGAACTCAAGCTGTCTAAAGAATATGCTGTGTAAATAAAGGGAATCGAATAGGACAGTGTATGCTAGGAAGTTAAGTTTGTATAATGAGAAAACTAAAAGGACCAGTGAGAAGCCTACAATATGTCCAAACATTATAACGATTGAGGGATCTATGCCGGACCACTCGAAGTAGAATTAACGAGCTGTCACACATAACTTGGGTCCAGGGCAAAATTGTCCAAATGGCGAAATATGCATGGATGCTTCGTACATCCAGCAATATTTAGAAACTATCTAAACACAGATCAAGCCACTTTAGTTCAACTATTAATTTAATTTACAACTAAAAGAACCTATTGCCATTAAACCACGCCTATCCTTAATGAAGCTGAACAACGCAGCATCGGCCTGGCTAGCCTAAAGTACAAACGGTGCCCTGCCTTAATTAGGGCAGCTGCGATTTGGTTCAGTTGCGAAGTAAAATACACGCTATGGCAACAAAGGTGTTGGATATGGTACTTAATGCTATAAATTGATTCCTGCAAAGATGCTTTCTAATTAGCAGCCCTAGTTCAGTGTAGTTGTTACACTCAAATTGGCTTATGACGGCTAAGATAACAAGACAATAAAGGCTTTCATGAATCACTTTTCTGAAGCTTGGAGATGAATCTAGTCAAATGACACGTGATGACATCGAGAGGGCGCAGCATAAACTTCATCCGTCGAAATCACCCAATTAGCACAACCAACGAAGTGCTTAAAAGTGTCTACCAAGCGAAATACCACCTAACTTCAGCTTGTGAGAATGAACCACGAACATTTTCATCGCACACTTTCAAAAAATATTAGTTAATCTTCAAAGACATTCTATTAATGATACTTCTTCCATATTAAATCTCAAATATAAAGAGTAATGGGAACAAAACCGGATGTGATATGACATGTTCTGCATGGATGAAATTCAGAGTCAGTCTAAAAAAAATAAAAGTTATAGGAAATTAAGCATACTGATAGTAAATTTTTGCATGCAACAATAATTAAACGATGCTGTCTTGAATTTCAATGTATGCTTAGCTTATATGAAGAGGGAGTTGGTAACATTTTTCAGGCTCACCTGCTTCTTTTTCGTTTTAATCTCAGCCTCATAGTCCAGATAAGCAGCTCTAAGTCGCTCCAAACAGTTGACAATAAGGTCCAGTTGGGCAGACGACACGCGTGCATGGAACTGGCCACGCAAACGAGCTCGTGTGCTGCGCTCCAAGGCAGCGGCAGTCAATTCCCTAATGAGGCCGGACACTTGCGATTCCACACACTCTGGCCATACTGACTGCTGATCCTGTAAGCCGACTTGTGTGGCATCGGTTTGGAGCTTGGAATGTGTACTTGAACCACGCAGAAGTGTAGTGCGTTGATCGCGAGAATGACCAGCGGAAGCAGTGACACTGGAAGAGGACGAGAAAGAAGAGGCTGCAGTGATGATGGCGGCAACAGTGGTGTTGAAAGCTTTGTTCAACTGGCCAGACGAAGTTTCTTCCGATGGCGCCGAGTTGGCTCCGCCTGAGACAGAGGCATCAACAGTGTCCGCCCAGATTCTAGCTTTACGGGTTGATCCACCGAACAACCTTCCCGGACCAGTCAAGCGACGACCGCCCACTTTGATGGGGATGAGGCGAGCAGTTAATGGCCCGCCTACTCGTTTGGCTTGATGGTTGTCGCTGGGCGAGAATGAGGTGCTGGTATTGGCCAGTTCCAGAAGACTGTCGTGAACGGCAAGTTCAGTGCGCGCTAAGCGGGATAAATATCCACGAAGCAGCTGCAAAGCGCGAAGGGGCGTAGAGATTAGTTCCGCAACCTCTTCGATGGAGAGGGCTACTAAGGTGGGAGAGAGCAAGTTAAGAGAATGTAAATAGCCACCGATGTGCACTTCTGAGGGTTGAATGACGTGTAGCTTGGCGAGATTGTTTGATAAGCTTTGAGGAAAGATTTATGTTCTGGGGTTAAAATTATAAAGTTGTGCCAAATTGCAGTAAAGCAAAACGTGATCTGAAATATTCTATATGCATTTGCATAGTCGCCGTGATAATCCTTCTGCTGCTCAAATAAATCAGGAAGTGGACAACGTATGTCTAATAGACAATATTCGATTATGGTATTAAAACTAAGAAATTGGGGGCTAATCCCCGTGAGATTTTTTTCAATTTTAAGGTAGATATAAACAAAAAGACAATTCCGTCACTAGGTATCCACCATGGACCCAAATCAATGACGAATATGGTCATTTTTCTCTTAGTTTGGACTTAAATTGACAAGTGGCAAGTTAAAGCCTGAAAGAACGTTAAACTATTAATAATTCAATAGGCATCCATATGCCTGCTGGAAATATACGGCAAACTATTGTAAATCTGAAGAAAAGCTAGCAAGGCAAGTTAATCA